CCCCTAGTAGCTTATTGTTACTAGTAGCGATGCCAGGAGCCCCTAGTAGCGTCCTTGCTCCTAGTAGTACGGCCAGGAGCCCCTGGTAGCTTATTGTTACTAGTAGCGGTGCCAGGAGCCCCTAGTAGCGTCCTTGCTCCTAGTAGTAAGGCCAGGAGCCCCTAGTAGCTTATTGTTACTAGTAGCGATGCCAGGAGCCCCTAGTCCTTTTTACTAATAGCTTGGGGTCGCCAGGCTTGGAGACGTTGCTGCTCTCTTTTAACTGCATCGAATCTTTGAGTGCCATACCACCATGTTTGGGCCTCGGAGCCTCAGCTCTTCCTGCTCATAGATCCTGCTCGTAGATGCTGTCAATGTTTGTTTGTTTTCTTCCAGCACGGATTGCAACAAGTCAGCTTTGGATGTCTTTGATACCATTCCAGGGATCCTGCGGTCTGGAAATGATGTTACATTAAGAGTATTCAGTATTCTTATGTGATTTGGTCAACACGCTTGCTGAGCAAGGTCGCATAACACTGACACGACATTTTTCTGAGATTTGAGACACTCACTCACCCACCCACCCACACACGCACGCACGCACTCACGCAAGCACGCACACAACCACGCACGCAGGCACGCACGCACGCACGCAGGCAGGCAGGCAGGCATGTAGGCATGCGAGCATGCGGGCATGCAGGCACGCATGCAAGCCAGCTAGCCAGCCATGCATGAAGTAGCATTCTGGCGGTCAAGCTGCATTCTCCATCGGGTTCAATAAGCTCATGATTCGGGGATCTTGCAATTAGGATCCCCTTAGCTGGAGTTGTTGCATTGTAGGTTCACAAGAACCACCTGTAATCATCCAACTTTTCTCTTTAGAGAAACAACCAAATGCAGCCTGACCAAGTTGCTTTGTTGCTGATCCAGGTGAGACGTTGGTTTCTTTGGTGGAGAGCTCAAGATTCTCATTCCCAGAATCCAACAGATTGAATCTATAACCACCATTTTAAACCTCTTGATTTCTCTCAATTGCAGATATTCACAGTGTCAGAATGGCAGGACCACAGCTGGAAAAGCAGGTCTTGGCTTGTTGCATTGACCGTTTCCAAAACAACAACACAGATCCGTACACCAAGGATGTCGCCCACAACCTCGTTCAGAGGATTCACGCCTTGGTGGGCTTTCCCGTTTGGAACTCAGAACATTTTAGTCAACTTCCTTCCAAATCTCTGGGAGCTGTAAAAACACAAAGAACATCACTGGATTTTGCTATAGTAAGCCGAGGAACCAAGACAGAGAAGCCACTAGTAACAAAGGGCTTCGCTACTAGTACTACTAGGAGCAAGGCATCGCTACTAGTAGCATGATTCTCCCAAGGCAGTCTTCACCAAGACAGTCTTTTGTCCCGTCAAATCGCCCTTTGCCTGGCCTGAGGCTTTGCGAGAGCTCGATCTAAGCTGGAATCAGTCAGGAGCACAGAACACTGCAGGAATGTCCACAAAATCAATTCTCTAGCAACGTTAATGTATGCTGTATGCTACATGACTCTTTGCTTATCGATAGAAAAGCCTGGCGGGCAGTCACGTGCCAACTGACGTCCTCCGTCCAAACCCCAACTGTTACATAGCACATTACACATAGACAATTCCACGAAAAAAAAACTGGAGTGCTCGAGGCTGTTTGATCATGAAAACCTCATTGTCTTGGGACGTGACGTGCCACGTTTGGAGAGCTTGGTGCTGGGCCCAGTTGGTGATGCGATGTCCATTTTTCGCTGGTCTCCACTAGAACGACTTGCCTTTCGGAAAGCCAGTTGAGTCAGCAAGCTTTTGACGGGGTCAGCGCCCAGCTAGCGAGCTGGACTTTGAACGTGAGGATGTTCGTGGAAACCGCTTGGTGGACAGCCGTGCCAGATCCGTGAACAAGCTGCCTTCCTTAAGGAGCCAGCGGCCTTTGGTTGAGCCTTTAAGCGAATGTCTCCAAGCGCATCAACTAACAAGACTCTTTTCATGGCTTTGTCAGTCCCTTCCAACACTTTCTGTGGGAGCAGCGGGTAGCGCTGATCCCTGGTCCAAGTTTAGCTCTTTTCACACGCTACTGTAGGAGTTGGTGTCAGAGTGATGTTTCAGGACGTTGGATGGCAAGGAGGTGACACCTGAGGAGATTCAGGTGCAGAGTTAGAAAGATAACATGTTCAACCTGTTGTTATTCCCTTCTGGAAAAAAGTGCAAAAACTGCACTTCAATCTTTGATGAGTACTGTATAGCACTGCAGTTGGCCTCTCGACTAGGCCTACCGAAACATGCAGCCTGTACAGATGAATGAGGACGACTGGTCGGGTTTGAGGTGTTAGTCAGATGTACACAGTCCTGAGTGCTGTTGTGTAGACTCTCGGCCCGCATCAACCAAGCAAGAGAGAGAGAGAGGGAGAGCGAGAGAGACAAGCGAGAGCGAGAGACAGGCGAGAGGGAGAGAGGGGGCATTATGGCTCAAGACCATACACAGGATGGTATCCTTTTGTTGACCAGCGCGTCGTTCCATGGCGGCCCATGGGGCTCCTATGTTATGAGTGTGGTTGGCAAGAAAGAAGTGGACAAGTATGGCCTTAGAGCCTTACGGCCTTCATGTAGCAGTCGGCAATGACTGAAGACGACCTAAGGTGACACAGGCCCATCTCCCTAGAAGCAACAGATGCTACAGACACTGCTGATGGTTCAGGACAGCACTAGAGACGACAATGTAACACCAGGCCTCGTGGGCACCGCCAAGCATCCCGCACCCCAGCGACACGCTGCGCTTACACCATCATGCTTTCCTTCCGCCAGTGGCACGGACTCATGCAAACGTGCTTTCCACCATGCTAGAGACGTGGGAAGCCAG